TATAAATTGTCTTATTTTTACGATTTAGTTTTAATCCAAATGATGCGTGTGCTAAGTGAGTGAACATCAAAGATCACACAACAGAATTGCGCGTGCGCGCGCGCTCGCTCTCTCTCTCTCTCTCTCCCTACCGTTAAGTAACGTGTGCATTGTTTTACTTAGTTGTTTTTGACGTATACAACCGAACTACAAACTTTCCAGTGATGTCTGTGAGAAAGGTATATTCACTCGACAAGCTGGCGCATCTGCGTCACGGCGCGCTCAATCCACTCAGCGCGCTTTGCTTATCAACTCGCGCACATCAGCTATACAGGTGTTAACACTGAATGTTTAACATTATATTCATTGCATACATATACTTCATAGACATCCTTAATCTCTAATAACTCCATTCTGCTGTCTGTTGTTCTGTTGTCGGTGTTTCATTGTCTGAATATGGCACTTATCACATGCTGTGTGGTATCGGCGTTTGGTATTGGGGCATTTTAACGAGTACGAGTACAGGAGCTCAGTATCGGGCCCGATACCGATACCAGTATCGGTGCATCCCTACTGGAAATACACCAATGGGACATTTGTTGTGTTTTCAGGTACTGTAAAAGGCTCAAGTCTTGCGTTTTTCGTTTTTATGATGTGGAGTTGACCGTCGAGACCCGTTTTGGCATAGCGAGAGCCCTGTAATGATTTGCTCGTTCTTCAGGAGGGCCACTGATGTTTTCTCATCACTGACCAATTTAAAGCTATTTGTTCTGCTCTCTCTTAGGTGCTGAGCCTCATGGCTCTAAAGAGCAGGTCAATGGAGATCAGCTTGTATTTATAGTTTTCCAATAGAAATCAAAGCTTCATGGATTGCCATTTTTGGATGTGCTTGTTGTTTAAAAGGAGTGAGAAACAGATGTCAGTTGATGGTCTGTAAGTAAATTTTCTCACAGCACAAGTGCTTCAAGTGCAGACGACTGAAGTTGATGCTTTGATTCATGAAGAATGCCATTATCTGTGAAGTTTTCTAGCACTCGTTGGGTTGCATCATTGCCTCTCACAGTCATATTCTTCATCTGGCATCCTGCAAGGGAAAAGACCCATTGTCTGTGACTGTTTGCGTCTCGACCCTTCGGCAAACGCTCATTAATTATGCCCCGTCTTGGCGAAATCATTTCGGGGAGAAGCAATTCAGCCTCTGTTCCTTTCAATTCACCCAGCTTGTCAATCATCGCCCCCCTCAGTATCCCGCGGAATGGAGGTGTTATATTCCGCCAATTATCATGTCATATACTTGAAAATGTAAATGAACGTGTGTGTAAAATTAAATTTATGGGTTGTCAGTTAAGAATAAGAACCAGGAGAGCAATTACTTATCTGCTTTCATCTTTCAAGCTCTGATATATCATGCAGAAAATGTTGGCGTTAAATGCTGGAATTAGCATTGTGCGCGACTCCGAAGTGAGTGGGCCGAAACTTCAACTTTGTCTCGTTTTTTTTGTTTGAAAAAGTGATGAAATGAAGATGCGTATCATCCGTCGATCTGCTAAAAAGCTAATGAGAGGCTGAGGGGCATATCCTGATTTCATTTTATTTCTTGTCGCCTTTGTCATTTCGAGTCTCTCTTTGGCAAGTTCAAGGCGAAAATACAACACACAGTCAGCTTTGGTCGATAAATAAACTTAGCGAATTGTTCTGAAATTTACATGTTTATTGTACTCACCGAGCCACAGTGCAGGCGAGGTGATCGTTCGTTATTCAGTCCGTAGCTCATTTAAATATACAAATAATGGGCGTAATGAGAACATCTCCTCTTGTATTTTCATGCTTTGGTCTTTATATTGTCGTTTAGGCCGGCACAGAACCCTGGCTGAACCTGGGGGTAATTACACATCACAAATGTGTCTTAAGGTTTAATAACATTGAAGGTGTAAGCATACATTTGCATAATTACATGCAGCTGTTTAATTTGTGACTTTGTTGCTTTGTTCCTTTGTTTTTTTTCCGATACCTCCTCCCTCGTCACACCTTTTCTCCCCAAAGAAAGACCGACAGAAAGAAAGAAAGTGTATTTGTGTGTGCGCTTTCCTCCGTGGTGGTGATGCTCATTGAGTTTTGGGGCCAGTCTAATGAAGAATGGTGCTTGGAATTGTTTGAATATGAATATGAGTGGGGATGGAGTGTGACCTTCAGCTCCGCTACTCAGTTCATCAGGATTAGTCAAGCTCGGCGCTCAGGAGCGCTAATGCATAATGACTTCTAAAATGAAAAATGTGTAGTGACCATGCAAATGTCTCTGCTAATCAAAGAGGGGAACCTGAGCTGGGCCGAGCCAGGAGACTAAAACAAGGACGTGTCAAGGCCCTGAGAGCTCAGACGTACGGAAAGCAATCAAGCAGTCTTGATTAGCCGGCGCGAGGAGTCACTCGGACCCCTCGCGACGTCTAATGGAGCCTCACGTCTTTTTCTCAAGCTCAGAAACCACAACAATAGAGATGTTTACCTGTCATGACGCCGAAGGCTCGGCTGTCTTGATGATAGACAGCATCTGTCGAAGCTGCTCTGTTGAACAATGCAACATGCAGCATGCTTCATAAAGTACAAAGAACGCCCTGAAGAGTCAGCTGTAGACAGGTGCAGCGCCCAGGAGAGGAAAATTGTTTCTGTCTTTCTCAAATAGCATTTGTCTGGCAATTATTTTTATTCTGTTCATTGTGTAGTTTTAGACGCGAGCGAAGAATCGAGCCAAATTAATGTAAATGTTGCATGTTTCCAGAAAACTCGCTTGCTTTATTTCAATGCTGGGTTGCGAAAATATTTTTTTTGTTTTTTTTAGCTGAAAAAGTTCTCTCGCACAGTTTGACAGCTGGTATTTTAATGATTCTTATCATTTAAAAAAATGACATGAATTTTTAAAAATGACATCTCGTGGAAGACTTGTGCCTCTGGCTGCTTTCTTCCAAGCGTGTAACTTGGAAACTTCAATGCGCAGCGAGAGGCAACTGGTAATTCCCCTCACCTCTGTAAAACAGAATACTTCACAGCAGCTCAGCTTCAATCAGGAGTTTCTCACAGACTTTTCAAAGCTTCAAACCCTCGGCAGCCTGAATCTATGCTACTTAGCTTAGCTGCTCCTCAACAGGCCATGTGTCCGCTTACGACCCACAGTCGGCTCTGGAGATGTGCGTCTTCCTGCCTGCCTTGTGTGTTGTAGCACTAGAAATCGCCTGAGGGAGTTGAAGGGTTCAGCTAATTAAGGTCCTCCTCTATTTAAAGCGCAGTGCTTTTCCCGTTGGGAGTAGCTGACAGAAAATATATAGAGTAAGAAAGTACACATGCACTGCCAAATGACTACATATACTGCACTCGCACCATTTCCAGAGAGTTCGAGAAGCGCATGACTTTACAGTTGAAGAGTTTTCACGAGACATGGCTAATGTGTTGTTCTCTCCGTCTCCGTCTCTCTTAGGTGCCAGTGTCTGTGGCAATGATGAGTCCACAGGTGATCACACCCCAACAGATGCAGCAGATCCTTCAACAGCAGGTCCTTTCCCCCCAACAGCTCCAAGCCCTCCTACAACAACAACAAGCAGTCATGCTTCAGCAGGTGAACACACATAAACACCCTCTTACTCACTGTCCCATATGCAGTCATGTTTTGAAATGGTAGCATACAGATCCTCTCTGTCCTTGACATACTAAATACGGACAGGCATGTAATTAGTTGTTTTCAGTGGGGACGTCTTTTGGGGACAAATGGAGCACTGAAACAAGAAAGTCAAACAGAGTTAGCTGTACGTGAACTCTTGCTTTCACGTGTTGTTTGGTTCATTAATGTATCCGCATTGCAAGACGCATCGCGTTTTTATTGTTGCAGTAATAGCTGATAAAGTGAACTTTCAAATTCATGCTCTCCTACATTCTTCACTCCTTCTAAAGGTTTTCCTTTTTATCATAATGAAGCAGCAGTTTGAAGATTGAGCAAGTTTGTTAAAGTTAGTTAAACTATCAACATGTTAGCTGAAGTATCTATAGTAGATATATGACATTTGTAGATGCTATATTTGTTTTTTGGTCTTTTGTGACCGTAAACCAGCCTAAACTGTTTTCTGGTCTTAGCTGGTCTCAGCTGGTCTCCTTTCCTTACCAGGCAGTTAATGTGCAGTTGGTCAACCTGGGATACCAGCTAGCCCACCAGCTTGCCCAGGCTGGGAGACTATTTTTAACCAGCTAAGACCAGCAAACCGGGTTTAAGCTGATTTTTCAGCAGCCGTAGTAATGTAAGGACATGAAATGATTAGGAAAAACAGCTCAAACTTTGATTGTCCACATGAGCACCACATCATATCGTAGCATGTGAGTTAACAACTAGACCACATCTCTGACAAGAGTAGATTATATCTTCAAAAGTGATTTTAAAATCTCAGAGTGAGCTCTTCATTAAAAACATCTCCATTAACTCAGTTAGCCTTGATTATAATTAGGTCTGTATAAACGGTGACGAGCGTCTTGTGCTGAAGACGTCTCCCGCTGAACGAGACGGGAGAGCTTGGCTCCTGTATTCCGACGATGAGCTCCTGAGGACAGCACTCTGAGAAGAAGAGGAGAAGTGTGCTAAATGCATTAATTCACAATGATGAATACTCTCCTTTGAGTGCTTCACATTCATTTCAGATTTTCACTGCCTGTCAAGGCATCAGAGAGGAAAAAATATATGGGCAGTAAGATTAATTGTTCCTCTAGCGGTAATGTGCAGCCGCATAAAAGTCCATATGGAGACGCATGATGAGGGGAAGTGCTGGTCTCTTTGTCTCGACCAGAGAGAGATGTTATTTATGATGTGACATGCAGAAGCACATCCAGGCATGTCGTGCGGCCTCAGGAGCCCGGAGTCGGCTGCGAATCTGTTTGTTCTGTTGTAGCTCTGCTTTGAGGTACGGCCATACTTATGTGGGAGAAGGGAAATAAGTAAAATATAAATTTTCAAGCCATATACAACAGCTGCTTTGTTTTGTCGCAGATGTAGCCTAGCAGTTTGCGCATTTGCTCTAGAAGCTGTATTTGCTCCAAGCAGTTAGTGAAAGCACTTTAACTTTATAGAACAAGGGAAATACATTGATATTTAGATACATTTTTAAGCCATATACATCAACTGGTTATTTTGTCACAGCTTTAGCCTAGCATTTAGCACATTTGCTCTGAGAGTGTTTACATTAACTGCATCTGCTCCTAGTGGTTAGTGCAAATGTTCTAATAACAAACTTAATGGGAAAAGGGAAACAAGCACAAAGTACTATGAAATATTTTAAACCCCTAAACAATCATGGTTTTTGGCTATAAATTAGCCTAGCGGTTAGCGCATTTGTTCTAAGCATTTACACTTTTGTATGATCTGTTGCTTTCCACACATTGTAATAGAGAATGTCCATGCCTTTCCACAGCAACACCTGCAAGAGTTTTATAAGAAACAACAGGAGCAACTCCATCTACAGCTTTTGCAGCAACAGCACCCAGGAAAACAAGTGAAAGAGGTACGATAAACACACCAAAACACACATGTAAGAGGCAAAGTGATGGTTTTCCTTGTGTTCGCCAACCACAAGCGACTTGTAAATCAGTCTGTGCTGTCATTACACTCTTTTACCACAGAGGAAAATTCTTCTGAATGCTACCAAACGATGTAGAGAGCTAAAATTAGGCAGACAACATTGTCAGGTGTCTCAACTCCGTCCTTGGCGGTAATTCAGAGTTACGCTGACGCTAAAATGCCCGCTTTAGCGTACCGCGCAGGGTCCGTTCGCTAATGAACCACCGCGGCGGGTTTGGGCCGACGAGCAGAAAAGTTCGACAGCAGCGAGCTCATAAATCAAACTGACAGTCAGACCGTGGATCCATCTGACAGACAGACAGAAGGAGACTGAGGATTCCTGACACGCAGGAGCAGGCATCAAAAAGCGAAGCGCGCCAAGGAGTGGGGCGGCAACCCAAACAAAACGTGCGGAAGCAGTTAAATTGATCAGCTAGGTATCGTGGACGGGAAATGTCCCCCGCCCCCAGCAGTCTCTTCAACTAGCACCTTCTACCATTGTCTTTCTTCAAGCAAGCCATTATGCAGGGCCTACAGAAAGCAGGACTGACCTCCCGAAGGTTTTGTTTCTGTTTGGATTTGCGAATAGATTTTTTTTCAGGCCCCTGCCATCAAATATGGAATAGAAATTGCTCCCTTATTTCTCACGAGACTGCGGGGCCAATCCGCACGGCTCACTCCATTATGCAGTCTGTTTTCCAGTGAGCGCATCACAAGTTTTGCCTCTCATTCTCTTGCTCTCTCATCCCTAAACTAAAGGAGTGAGGTCTTCCTCACCGTTCTTGACTGAAGGTCTTCCTCTGGAGTCTGCTCAGTCCTACCGCTAGTGTAATTCCAAGCAAAAATTGGAAGTTTAACTTTCCTCCTGTAATGGGGGTCTTTGCTTTCTTGTCACTGAGTAGGTTGTAATGTATTCTGACAGGAGAAGAGGAAAGGGAAAGCGGATGGGAGAGAGAGAGAGCTCAAGCTAACAGGGTCTCAGCAGAAACTAGCTCTCAGTTTGCTAATGGACCTCTGGAGACTTTGTCCACAGAAGCAAACTTCAGTCATTTTTAAGCCAGACCTCCTAAAAAACAGCTAATAAATTGATTCTGTACGACATGGAAATGCAACTACTACACCACTTTACATTTCCGAACAGCCAAGACTAAAGAACGGTGTCTTGTCGTTTCATCACATACGAAATTATACAAACACTGAGCCTCATTCACTAACAGAATGAATTTGCATATATGACAATTTACATAAAAATGGTATTACAAACTAGTATGACATAAAATTATGTCTTGGGACTGATTTATGAAATATGAGAAGAATACATTTTTGTGTAAAAGTGTAAACTGTTTACAACCATTTATGTAGTAATGGTTTTACAAACAATTTAACACACAAATTTCATCTGCTGTTTCATGAATGAGGCCCAAATGTTTGCTCTTTAGTGATTTGGACTAGCTAATTGTTGTTTAATTTCTCTTAGTTCAGTAATTATTTTGTAACGTTAATGTGTATCTATTTTACAAGTTTATGTCCATATTGTATGTGACGGTTTATGCAAAATGTTCATAGCTGATGTTTCATGAAAGATCCAATGTACGAAAATATTTACTGTAAATACTATGATTTTCAGTTTGATTTCACTTAATTAAATGCTTTGTTTGAAGGGGGTTTTTTTGTCATGGGTAACGTTTTACACAAAAAGTGTTTTATATGGGTGTTTTGTTCACTTGTGATTTTGCTAATCCTTTTTGTTCGCAAGTAAACATCAACGTTTACCTGATTTTACGGATTTATTTTTATCTATGGAAAGATTTCAAGCACAGTTGCTGTGCTTTGATCACTGAAGTGCTGCATTGTTTTTCTGTGGTTTCCGTCACCGCTGCTGCTGCTGCTGTTGTTGTTGTTTTTGTTGTTGGCTTCGCCAGCTTATGCAAGAGGCTCCACTGGCAGTAAACAGGGCTCGGGAGGGGATGGGGGGGTGGGTGCTGTAAATCTCTCTCAGCTTCTCTCCCTCCGTCACCCCCTCCCTGTGGCCCCATAAGCTGTAATGGACCATTACAAATGCAAGACAATTAACTATCAATGGCGGAAGGAGGGGGTTCCACACACCCTCCCACCCGCATCTCACACACAGATTTCAGTCCACGCAAACAGGCGAAGAGAACGAGACGGCTAGGTTTCACTTGGGCCACATGTATAACCAAACACTTTCTCGTCCATGTGTGTGATTAGTGTTTTGCGTGTATATGCTCACTCGCGCTCTCTCTCTCTCTCTCACTATAGCAACAGCAGCAGCAGCAGCAGCAGCAGCAGTTGGCGGCACAGCAGCTGGTCTTTCAGCAGCAGCTCTTACAAATGCAGCAACTGCAGCAGCAGCAGCACCTGCTCAACATGCAGAGGCAGGGCCTCCTCTCTCTGCCCCCCGGCCCAGGACAGCCCACCCTCCCCGGACAGACTCTGCCGCCAGGTAACATCCTCACGTGACCATCTGAGAGCGTGCGTGTGTGTCTGCGTCCTCTTTTAAACTCCCCTTTTTTGTTTCCTGCTGCATTTTACTTGCCATTTCAGTTTTTTTTCTCTAGTTCTCTTTCTCTCTTGCCTGTGTCTGTGTGCTTGTTGTTTTCCTCTCTCTCCCTCTCTCTCTCTCTCACTCTCTCTCTCCCTCCCCTCCTTGCCTGTTGTTGTTGTTTACGGACTCGCAGTGCGAGCTCAGAGCTCTGAGGAAGACGAGCTGTTGCCATTTGCTTTTTTCCTGGAACGAACACCTGGTGCTACTGTGTTTATCGAAATGGCGCTGGATGACAATAGTTTGAAAATGGCTCTTAATTGGAGTATAGCCGGGGCAACATGAAGCGGAATAGTCATTTTATCATCCAAGGGATTATATGATGATTTGATTCTGCACACAGAGGCTTGTTTATGAATGCATAATCATGTGCAGATGAGTTCCTGGTTGCTTTGCACTTTCGGATACCACAGAAACGAAGCGAGGGATGAGCGTCCAGGTCGATCTCGTGCCGGTTTATCTCCAGATGCTTAAGTGTGATGCTCAAGTTTCGCAGCAGAGCAGAACAGGTTTACCTACCTTGTTAGAAAAGGGCAGATGGGAGCTCATGATGAGAGTTTCGTGAATGATTGTGTCTGTAAACCTTTTTGTGACTCTCTTCCAGCTGGTCTGAGCCCCGCCGAACTCCAGCAACTTTGGAAAGACGTCACCAGTAGCCATGCCATGGAGGACAATGGGCTAAAACATAGCGGCCTGGACTTGAGCACCACCAACAACTCGTCCACTACCTCCACCAGCAACCCCAAAGCTTCTCCGCCCATCACCCATCACTGCATCTCCAACGGCCAGTCCCCGGCCCTCAACAACCGGAGAGAGAGGTACTCTAACACGCACACATGCATGCCAAAGCTAATCGGAGGGGCACTGGTTTATCCTTCCGCTTACCCGATCACCATTGGCTCCTTGAGATCCAGCTGGATTAGCTATGTAAAGTCACTTTGGATAAAAGCTTCTTCTCTTTTCGACACAAACTCCAAATCCCTTTTCAGACATACGTGATCACAAACTTCCCGATAAAGGGTCTTGTGTGCACATGAACACAAAGGCATGTTAACAAACACAAACCAAACAGCCGTTTAAACAATTTTTCATGTGCGACACGAAAAACGGAAAGAACAGTTGATGTGTTTGTCCCCATTTGCAAAAGGAAAATGCTCATTCCTGCAGGGAGAGGGCTGTGTGTTTTTGTTTGTTTGCTCATCAATAGTTTATTAATGTCTGGATAACAGTTGAAATGAGACGAAACCTCCCACGAGACAGCGCGCTATTGAACGCAGTGCCTTCTGGTATATCAAACGCATGGAGGTGCAACTTTCAGTGGCAGGAACACACAGCTCACCTCAATGTACATTAAGTATTTAATACCTAGCTTTTCTTTTGAAATTGCTTTGCTGGCGCGGCTTGTCATGTAAATAGAATACACTATGCCGGTGTGGCATTTCCTGAGCGTTTATACACGCGACGGCCCTTTTATATGCTCCGCGGCTGCTGTAAGACATAGATTCGCATATTTCTCCATGTATTATTCAGTCTGTAGCGGCCATATGTTAGTACATAGCAACAGCCGCTGACTTCACTGGGGGTGGATGTGTTGTGTAATTGGTTTCAAGTACGTAGCGTCTTCACAGAAAGCCCTTTCTTGAGAGAGATATCTTTCGAGGCAGAGAAGAAAAAGGAAAAAACAGAGAGAGACGGAAATAATTTAAGAAATAGGTAACACACTTTTCTCGTGTGTTGGCGGAGTCTCTCGGGTCCACGGTCGTTCGTAATCACAGAGTGTGTTGTGTTGTCAGAGCCAGCTGCTTTCTAAGATGTGCTTGATCGATAACGGCAAGGTAAAACAGCCGGTGAGGTTTGTGTGTGTGAGCGTGTGCCGCACACAAACACACGCCGTGCTGGTCTGCTTAGCCTCACTTTCGCACATTAGCCCCTCAGCACCATTAGAACTGGCGGTCGTAACTTACCGTAATGTCTTTTCACAACAGGTCGTGTCCTTAAAAACGCCGGTTCCACCGCAAATGAATCTCCTGGTGAAAATTAAAGCGCAGGGGCCGGTTTTCTGCTGTTTATACAAGTTGTCCGTAATGGCTTTACAAGGTGAAAGTCTGTGGAAAAAATGTTGACTGGTGATTTTACTTGGCCAGGCCATTTGTTTTTTAACACACTCGTGTCTCCTCAGTAATACTCTGGATCAATAATCACAAGGTGGCGTGATGTCGAGGGGAGAGCATGTGTGTTTTTTCAGCTTTTCTGAGCATCAAGTCCACCAAATTGAGCCGGTTTGACCCAACTTTTGGTCATAGTATCCTGACAGGTACCACCACCATGTTTTCCACCACGTTTTTAATGCTCATTATTTCTCTTTCAGTTCGCTGCATGAAGAGACCGGAGCATCACACTCCCTCTATGGTCATGGAGTGTGCAAGTGGCCAGGATGTGAAAGTATTTGTGACGACTTTGGACAGTTTTTGAAGTAAGTGATCATCAAGAGACCATAAGTGCTTAAAAATTTTTAGTTGGCCTAAAGCAGTAATTTATCTGTTTTCCCTTTATGTCTCTATTTTAATACTTATTAGATGCTTAGTTGTTACTTTTTCAATTTAAAAAGTTTTCATACCTCAGTTCACGCACTTAGCTGTAAATCCACAAAACGGATGGTGAATCAGATTTCTCAAAGGCGCCTGTCAGCTCATCATAGGTGGTGCTCAGAAATGACCGTGCATCTCCACGGCTACGTGAGTGGATGATGGGCTGGTGTTGAGCGGCAGAAGCTAATGGCAACCCACATAGCCATGCGGTGTTGTCATGGCGCAGCTAACGGAGTGAAATGAACTCTTCATGCTCCATCAACAATTTAGTTAATTAGCTCATTTGTAATTGGTCGGCTTTGTTGCCGCGACGCAAGAGGGGGGACATCAAAGGAGAAGGTGTTTGCAGTGCTGGAGATTGTAGGTTATCACGTTGCCACTCCGAGGAAAGAGCCTTACCATCAAAGAATATAGAAAAGGGTTCATTTGAATATTCTAATTAGATCCGTAATTAACTGTGAAATAATAATCTGGTGCATTTGGTGGGTGTAAATGTCCACGTCAATTCTTGTAAACGGCTTTTGAGAGTGGCGACGTCGTTCTATTCTTTTATAAACCAGCTAGACACAGTCTAAAGAGTCCACTCCAAACAAGTCAAGAATTTAGCGCCTTTGAGTGTGTTACCATTTAACTAGTTGGTCATGACTGTCAACCAAAAGACTGCATGTACCTCAAAGTACAGGGTTAATTATCCCCGTCTAGCCCATTGACGTTCATTTATTGTGGCACAGCATACATCAGAGGTCATGTGATCATTTCCCGCCAAATTCAGCTGGTATGCAAAACAATGGTTGAAGAGAACTAAATAAAAACGCTCGTGGTCTGACAGCCTGTGCAGTAGGATGCCATTACAGCAATCATTCTCCAAATCTTCGTAGAAATGGGGGTGAGACACCCAGAGTTGGAGACGCCCGTACTGTAACTCGTACATGAAAACGCTCTCACAAAAGGCAGCGTGATCTGAGATGGCGGGTGGCGCTGTGCCTTGGAGGAGCGATTGTCGGTGTCAGAAGGAAGCTTTTAATGTCGTTCGGAGATGCCAGTCACTGCTGCGTATCATCCAGGTACACACGCTTAAAATGGTTTACATAAAATAGGTGTCAGATTCAAATGGCACCTTTGATGGGGAAGCAGGGGGCGGAGGTATTCACCCAACCGGCGCAGGCTTGTAGCTTGCGGAGAAGAAACCAGCCACGGTTTTGTAATCTTTGTTGTGTTGCTGAGAAAGTTGTCAAGATCAGCATTTAAGTGCAGCTCTGCGCTCTTTCATGCGTGGTGCACCTGGAGAGGGGTAGCCAAGAGGTGCCTGGCACTTTTATATTAGCTCTGAAGTTCAAATAGACGTGCGTGAATGTGCGTGCAAGCACGCGGGTACACCTCGAGGCGTGTGTATTAATGCAACGAAGCACGCATCTTGTGGGTCTGATTTGAGGCAACTTATTTGGGGGTTATGTGCAGCTAAAAGAGGGGGCTAATGAATTCATAGCGTTCTAATGTTGTTCTGCCATGCAGGCGATTTTGTTATTGTTTAAGCTCCAGATTGCTGCCCTAGTTCTCTTATTGATTTCCTCTCACATGTTTGAGAAGAGTCAGGATGAGTAGGAAGAGAAAAATACAGACATACCCGCTGGCCTGTAATAAAGATTGACGTGCTGTCAACGCAGGCTTGCCATTTGCTGTAGCATCTTTCCCATGTGGACGCAATATGAGATTGTGTATCTCAATAAACAAACCCGTTCTAATGCAGGGAAATAAATCGTTCTTTTCACCTATTTAACATTTAATACTGGTGAAGTGACCTGCAGAGTTTCCGCCTCTTAGAGTGCTACGTCTTAAACTGGGCGCTAATGAAAGCCAACAGGAAGTCCCAGGTTAGATTAATCAAACCCATGTCCAGTTGAAGGTCATGAGTCCTTTAGAAATTGCGAGTCATTTGAGAATTAGCGAAATGATTTAATTGGTCCATGTTGGCTGGAAAGGCCTAAGTAATTCCTACTTTAACTCAGATGATTTCATTCTGTCTGTGGTTTTCGATGCACTTCTCAGTCTGTTGCGTACCTGTCCGTCTGTTTCTTAGACCATCAGAGCCCTCATTCCCCATCTCAAAACAAAAATCAATATGCCTATAAAGTGACCCATAAATTACAGGCGGCTCCATAGATGTTTGCTCAGCTGGCGGCCCCGTCTCATTCTCCTCTCACCTCTCTGTTTGAACTAAACCCAGCGCCACAGGCTCATTAGGAGATATTGGTGACTGCATCTAACCCCCCTCTAGCCCCCTGCTTTTATCAATGCATAGTCAAACACCTACTGTCTGAATATTTCATTGCCATGCAGTAATCTGGATGTAATCACCAGCACTAACTAGCTCTCGCTAACGTTAGCACTCGCTTAAAACTCTGTTGTGCTGTATTTCATTCTGCTGGCTATTAAAAAAAGGTAATTACGACATCATTTCTCAGAATTGCAACTTACTATCTCATAATTGTGACTTTATAGCTTACACTATTGGTACTGAATTTATAAAAATTAATTTCTTATAATAATTGTAACAATTTATTTTTTCTATTAATTGTGACTATATCTTACAATAGTGACTTAGTGTTTCACAACTGCGACTTTGTATCTCACAGTTGCGACTTCATGTCTCAGACTTGTGACATTCTCATATCTGTGCTTATATATCTCAAAATTATGACTATTTTTGATAATTGTGACTCTTTATCTTCAAAAATGCATAAAGAACCTAGTATTTTACACTTTCTGACAATTACATTTATTGTATTTACTCTTGGAGAAGGAAACTTGCTTCCATTAGAAAAGAAAACCTCACGTTCCTAAAATAAACAAGGAAACGAGATTAAGATCTAGATGGCCGCTAATGAGAAACGGGGCATGCGAGATAAGATGTGTTATTTAGCGAGCTACCTGTCGGTACGGCGGAACTAGCCAGTCGTGGCTTTTGAAGCAACTGTAATTTATGACATCCACCATACATCAAGTGCGTAAGATAGCATTATGAGCATTGAAATGAAAAGGGTATTTGCAGCATTAGTTCCCTGCGAGGGACCTGATTACATGATTAATGAAATGCTCCTTTGCATGCGCATTCTGAAACAGCAATTAGGCACGGGGCCGGAGAAAGGCACCGACTCTCCAGTCATCCTAGGCGTTTTTTTTTTTTTTTCTGTTCAATGCTATCTCACTTTTGATTTATAATGGAGAATATCTGAGCATTAGACCTGAAACGGTTACAATAGCAAAACCGGGCGTGATGGAATGAAATAATTTTAAATGGGCACGGGCGTAATTGAAAGGTAGCGGCGGCCATTGTGTTCTCAAATGTCCTCTGCTTTGATTGGCGTGTTTGAGGAGGATTATGAATACGTTGTTATTTTGCGTTTTGCACATAAACAATAGCTTGCGCTATGAATAGAGAATGAATAGAGAAAATGCTTAGTAGTGTTAAATCTAGCTCGGTGTGGATGTGGGTGGGTGTTTGCGTGCGAGTGTATGTGCGCAATTTAAGCTAACACTAATGCACTGGAGGCTGTACTGTAAATGATCATTGAAGGGTCTGCAAGCTAACCTATAATTACAGGAAAGAGAGTGGCAGCATTGGCATTTCACAAGCATGTCTTCTAAAAGAGCGCTTTGTGGGTTTGTCACCAATGATAATTTAGATAGAGGCTCATTACCGAACATCACAACACTTTTAAAAACCTTTTCGCCTCCGTGCGTTCGCCGGGAATAAAGGTCTATTTTAATGGCGGGCTTCTTTTGTGTCCTGCAGACAAAATCCAATCAAGGAAAAACTGCCATTGACTGCTCCTGCAGTCTGAAGTGGGTTTTTTTCTCTGCGTAATATTCTAATGAAAGGATGAGTAGATACATTTAATATGTCGACGGAATAATGCACTCTTCGTAGGAGGCACTTTTTAAACGTTACTCGAGTTAAATTGCATTTATTGTATTTATTTCTTGATAAATGTAGAAGACAAAACCTCTGCCGAGGCCTTTTGTACGCCAACATCCCTCATAAGCCGTTGTGTTCTGAGCGTTGCCTCTCATTCGCATGACAATCATGCTATTGTGATGTTAAACACCGGCTTTCAGCGAGCGCGGGACACACTTGTTAGATGGCGGCGGTTTGTTAAAAGCTAATGGGATGGACGTCCTGTAATCCAGAAATCATATTCATCAACAACAGTGGTAGTTGATCAACAGCAACCGTCTATTATTAGTTGAGCCTGTGTATGTGTGAATGAGGGGTTGGTTTCTCATCAGTTTCTCCTGTTCGCCTACAGGCACCTTAACAATGAACACGCTCTGGACGACAGGAGTACCGCCCAGTGCCGAGTACAGATGCAGGTGGTACAACAGCTAGAGATACAGGTACAGTAGACACATGAATATAAGCATATACACGTTTACAGGAACAGTTCACCTAAAAATGACACGTCTGGCATCATTTACACACCCTCATGTCATTCAAACCTGTATGACTGACATTCCTCTGTGGAACACAAAAGCATGTGTCTTGAAAAATGTATTAGTGTCCATACAATGAAAGTCAATTTGGTTTAGTGTTGGTTTGTTTCATACAGGTTTAGAATAATATGAAGGTGAGTAAATGACAGAATTCTCTTTTTTGGGTGAACTATTACTTTAAATTAAAGACAACATGAAATGGCATTCACAATGCATGTGTGATTTGTAAGCTGATTTCTCTACAAATTGAAAATATTGCTGTATTATCAAAACATTAAACCAACCTGACTCAGCTTAGCTTTACCTAGTTTGTGTACTAACGTATACTTCAAACTTTACATTGTATATGTCATTTGGGTAAAAACCTCTGATAAATGCATTAATGAAAGCATTGGCAGGTTGCGAGCGGGACTGTCTGCTAACTGCTTATCCAGTGGCAGACAGTGGAAGTGTTCGAAAACAATCATTATTTATATATTAGTCCTTAATTTAGAGCAAGACTGGATTTTATGCATCAGGCTTTGATGGAATTGTGAAAAGTGGGTGTTCAGTACCATGTTTTGCTTGATTTTGATTTCATGTTGTCTTTAACACACACTTGTTCAACTTTAACTGCTTTTTTGCAGCATAACACCAAACATTTTGTTAATTAGCTTGTTGCCATAAAAAACTTGAAGCTCATAAAGTGAAAAAATGCACAAGGGACACCTTGAGCAAATCCATCCCAACAAAGGTGAAAGCCATCACAGGCCTTTATAATTGAATCATGGTTTGTGCTTATTTTCTATCCCTTCCAATTAATATGCGCGCATCTGGGCTGGACTGTGTTAATTAAATACACTTTGCACCTGAAGGAACCTCTAAAGAGAGCCACTATTTCCAGTAGCTGGAGCGTGACCTTATTAAGGTGTCACGCTGGCGAGATAATGAGAGCAGTGATTGAGGGATGCTATTACTCAGCGCTGCGGCCATCTCTCCCGCCAGTTAACGCTCTGTCCTTTGCCTCACACCTTCCGGTGCATCATGGGATGCGGTGCACGGGGTTAAAATCCATCTTTCTTCTGTTAATTTCAAATAAATAACCAGTTTCGCTTGCAGAATAATTGCGGCCTGTGCTTATTTTTTTATGTAAATCTAGCTGTTCCCTTGCGTTTGTGCACGCAAAGAGCCGCCTCGCCTTTGTAGTGCGGATTGCTTTTTGACCTTGGCTCCTCTAAGCCTTCGTGATGCCCATCTGAATGCAAGCCAAGCGTTCCCCTCAACCTTTAAAGGTTTTTACGCTTGGCAAAACCCTCCCTATTTATTTGTTGGGCTCTTGAAACAGAACAATGAATAATTCTTGTTTATATGTAAAATAACAGATGGACATCACGATTTCTCCCTTGACTTGTTCTCTTGTTCGCTGATACCACAAAGCCGGCGTGCTTACACTGTGACCAATTACAGCAGAGCTGCTGTTTTCTGTCCTTCTGGGCTTTTTTTCCGCTCTTTTTGGCGTTTTTTTGTCCTCCGTCATTGGTAATGAGGCCTGGTTCAGAGCTCAATGTTCAATGCCGGCTCACCGGCGGAGTTCAAGGCGGTGCGCCGTGCGGGCCGGTCCCTGTCACTCTCTGTGAGTTAGATTGATGATAACAGATCGCCGGGGCACTAACTGGACCTTGGAGGACCCGGGAGGAGGCAGGGAGGCGGGACCGACTGGCACTCTGTTTGTGGGACCCCTTCACCTCTCTGCAGCTGCTAGATCCAGTCCAGCCCTAACAGTGTCCACAGGACTTTGAGTAGCCGACCAGGACCCTCTAATTTATGGCCTGAGTAGCTTGTTACTGTCAGAACTTTGCTGACCTAAATTCTGCTATTGACAAAAAGATGAAGTGCTATTTGTTTTCCGTGACCTCCGAGCACCACCTTCAGCTCTCCATCACCGCACCACAAGGAATGGTTCTCTTATCTTTGCTTTAATCTGCCTCTCTCTCGCTCTCAGTGGTTCTCAACTGGTTTTGCTTCAGAACCCAAGGACATCAAGCGTCCAACACTGTACAAAGCTGCTTCTTATCTAAAAGTAACAAAGATGTCCTAAAAATCACACATAAAAGGGAATCACTTTGCAGTAAGGTTATATACCTGAATTTTGCAGCATTTATTCATCTTGGATAATGTACATTTTCACACATACTAATCTATTTTAAACTTTAGGAAGAATTAATATTCACCTGAATTAATACATGCTGTAAAGAAATACAGTTCGTTGTTATAGTTCATGATGCCTAATGCATTTTAACAAGGATCTATATGGAAACATTTATTAATAATGTTTATTAATATTGCCAAGACCTATATAGGTCCTATATAGTCACATGACAAAATTCTACCTTTTGTTTAAATGCATAAAACAGACAAATGTTGCATATTACCAACTGACAGGTGAACTTGCTCTGAAATAGTTGTTTGAGAAGATACATGATGTGTTTCCTCTCCTTTTTAAAAGTTGATAAGCCTGTTTATTGTTCTATCCTAACTATACTCAAGTGTATGGCTAATTGCATTTTTTATTTGCATTTAGCATTGTTGTTTTGCAGCTGTCCATGACCCCACTAGAAAAGACCTCTAGCTGGTTTTGTGTGACGACCCGCCGGTTGAGAACCACTGCTTTATGTCTGTGTCTTTGAGGCAAGCTTAAGGAAGCCGGTCTGGGCCGTATGCAGGATTTATTACAAGCAGACAAGCTTGATAACAAGATGTACTACTGTGGTAGTCTGGGGAAAATCACTCATTTCTAAAACCAGTCTGTTTTCTTTTTTCTCTCTCTCCCTCCCTCTTTCTGCTAACAGCTTTCTAAAGAACGTGAGCGTCTTCAGGCGATGATGGCACACTTGCACATGAGGCCCTCAGAGCCCAAACCATCACCAAAACCGGTGAGTGCATATTGGTACGCGTACAGTAAACAGGACTCAGGATGGTAAATGTGCTCTCTAAACACGGCTGGAGGATGAGAGGAGAATGGGATTTGTAATGCCTGCTTTCTTGGGACCCTATCAGGACCGAGAGAGCATTAAATCATACACCCGATCTCAGCCAAAAACGCAGAGCCATTACACTCTGATGGCTTTAGCACAGCAAACAACCTGTTGGCCGGTAAAAGCTGTTTAGCGCCGCGACCACAGGCGCACTTAAAGTAGGGGGAAGACGTTTCGTTTCAGAAAACAAACAGTTTGAAATGATAGATGGAAACTGCGAGAAGATTATCTGTAAAGAAATAACCTGTAATCTGTAAACATTCAGAGATATAGCTGTGTATTTGGAGAAAAATTGAGCAATATATGAAAACGGCCCATCTGTCTGGATCCGATTTCACTCAAAGATGTCCTTTAACCATTAATCAAAAACAAAATACAAAAAACACGTTGTGTTGTGCTGGAAATTAAAGTGTTTACAAAAGAGAGTAGGCTGTGATAAATGTTATTTATTGGAATTGTTTATTAGCTATTCAATATTTTGCAGGGGAAAACATTCTTAGCGTGTTGCCGCCGCTTAGCAAGTAGCTAATTTCACCGGCATAATTTTTTCTCATCACCTCCCACCGTATAAAGCAGATAATCACAAGACAGAATAATTATCCTGTAAATCCATCAGGAATCGACTGCTCACCTCTGTCGATTTATTATTCAGGGTTTTTTTTCCCGTTTTCATCCTCAGAACTCCAGCAGCTTGGTGAAATCGACTCTAATAAAAAACGTTCAGCCTATAATCCACGACCGCATATGAATGAATAATATTAATGAAGTATTACATTACATAAACCGCACATGAAAGGATTGCTAATTGCATTTGATGATGAGCAATTAATGGTGAGTTCTTAAATAATCAGCGAGGGTCTGCGATTTTTTTCAGCTCATTCCTTTTTGTCTTAGTGCAAGTGTCGGGCTCACGCAAATGCTTTAATGTTATCGGTTTCGCAGGTACAAAAGAGAACACATGTATCCTCCCCACAAAAAAGGATGTTACAGATAATATGGCGGTACTTTCACGCCCTCGTACACACAGGGCCGACAGAGAACCGTCCCACACATTTGATAAATATTAATAGTGTGAATTTATTAGCACGACAAAATGAGCACCGGCAAACCCTCAACAGCTATCAGTAGCCCAACACAAGGTGCTGGTACACTGTTATATGACCCCATTTAAACTCTGAATGGCACTTCATTAAATGTTACCTTTTGGCCATGCCATGGATGGCTGAAAATCAAAGTTACCAAGGCTGCTAGTCCTGAATAATGAGGGGCTCTTTTTTCCCAACCCCTTCCTTTCCTCTCAGCCAACCTTGAATATATATTCAGATGAGCAGCAGTAGTAAAGGGCTGATCCCTGTGTCTCATTCACTCCTGCTCAGTTAAGCTTTAATAAATTCCATTTTGCAAACACCAGATTGTATGCCTGCAAACATGTTACGCTTGTTGCCATAACCAGGTGAAGAGAGGGGAGGAAAATCTTGTCTTAACATTTTAAATATACATGCAGCATACTCTCTATCTGTTTCCCCCGCTCGCTCACTACTGATAGGATTTATTGTGAAGTGCTTTTTTGCAGTGTTTGACAGTGTATCAAAACCTTTTTAGAGGAGTAGTGTGTAATTACGTGCTGATGTGGTGGTTTGGCCGCAATGAGAAAGATATTAAGAGAGACAATCCTCAAATCTGGTGCCGTGACCCGGCCCCTGATGAATTATACAATGTATTATATGCATCAAACTGCATTTTTGCAAGCACAGACAAAGATGGGAATTCAAATGGCAATAAATTTAGCACAAACACTTTATTTGTCTCTCATGTTTCAGAGTGGGGGGGGGGTTACAAAGCACTGTTACTGCTTTGTAACAGTGACAATGAATCAAATTCAAAATGAAAGAATATCTGTTGTAGAAAATGTCAGCTTTTATTTTATTTTATTTTATTTTTTATAGTGTGCAACAACGAATTGTTCATAATAAGACCAGGAACACCTTTAGAAGTAATAGGGGTCAATTTTGATTTCTTATTGACTTTAAGACACAAGTATTTACTTAGCATGTAATGTAATGTCAACAACATAACCGTTTACCCTTTTGCTAAGATGTCCCTCTGGTAGACAACGCGTCTTTGTCATTAATTTCCTTTCAAGGTCTTAGTTCCAGTCATTAACCAGGATACAACATTCCCCTAGAGGAGTCATTGATTTCTCGCGAAGTGGTATAGCGCATGCCACTCTCTGTGTTGGCATTATCTCATTATCATTAAGTGGAGCTGTAATTGTCTATAGAGCAGCCGCCTGAGAATAGCCGGCTTGACATTTCATTGTATTTATCAACATGTGCCACAAACGATTGTTGATGTCCAACCGGCGATCATTTTCTATTCTGACAGCACCGGAATTCTGCTTGCCAATTCGCAATTAAGGCAATTTGGTTTGAATATGTAATGATGTCATTACCATTTGAAGGAGTTAACGGCGAGAATAAAGGTCAGGGTTTTCCACTCGGGTGAAGTTGGGACACAAAAAAAGCAGAGGATATGTGCATATTGATAAAAAACCTGACTCTTGTGTTTGAGTGGTAAGACGGGAAGAGAGCGGGATGGATAACTAGCGAGGCACCAGGTTATGGCAGGAAGCCAGGTGATGTTCTTCTCACCGCGTGTGTGTTTTGCATCCAGGGAGCTCTTATGGGATAGAGATGGGCCGGGATAACTCACAGCCTGATCATTAGATAATCTTTAACAGCGTGCTGTAATTAGAATTTTTATGATACAATTTCATCCTGTAATTAGTGCAGATTGGCTGCTTCCTCCTTCGCTTATTAGGGGAAACACAGCTGTAGGAATGAGCCAGCACTCGTTTAAATCCCCCTCTCTCTCTCTCTTCTACAGCTGAATCTTGTCTCCAGCGTCACCATGTCAAAGAACCTCCCGTCTGTCTCACCCCCCAACTTACCTCAGACGCCCACCACGCCCACCGCTCCAGTCACGCCCCTTTCCCAGATGCCCCAGGTGCCCAACGTCCTCAGTCCCGCCAATGTGCCCAGCATGGGCGCCATGCGCAGACGCCACACCGACAAATACTCCATGCCCTTGTCCTCAGGTTCGTAGATGCTTTTTTTGTTCGCTCTTCATGCAAATGGGGCTAAAATCAAATCATCAATATTCAATGCATTTTAATTACAGGCAAATATAAAATTATGCAATATTCAAGAAGGCGATGCATGTAAAAACATCTTGTTTGATGTTTATATTTACTGGTCTTCCGCAAGTGTTGGAGCAGCGGGGAAGACATGAATTATTCAAACACATACAAAATATCGATGCAGGCTCTAATTTCACGAGCGTGTTAATGTTTAAGATTTCTCCAGAGACCCCCCAACTCGCCTCTCGTTTTAATTTGATAAAATCCTGAATGAATTCCTTGTGGAGACACGTTTAGCAATTATCCCAAGTGGCGACACTTGGGTTTATTTTATTTTTTTTATTATTTATCTGCTGCTTTCTTT